ATTTAATCTATGGTTGTAGGTGTATCTGTAAAACAGCTATCTGACACTAGATGGAGTGCCAATTCGCGATAGCCAATTCCGACAGGGGGCGCTGAAGATTTTAAAGATGGACGATAACTTCGGGAAAACAAATAATTTTGTCATTTGATCTCTAAGAAATAAAACGTTTAAAATAAATCATTTACACGTGTGTTTTGCCAAAGTAAAAGTTGGAGTACGTTCTTCAAAGTTTATTTGTTTGTGATTCGAGTTTATACATAAGGTAATTGACTCCCAAACCTGAATTAAAATAAAATTAAATGTTTGTTTTTCTACAGTATGTTTGAAACACGAGAAGCAGAGATTTTTAGTTGAGGGTGAGGTAGTTTTTGGAGCTGGCCACATTTAACTTCATGAGACTCTTGGGGCAATTTAGCTGATGGAACAGCATTTTTCTTCACTCTTCTTAATTTAGTTTCAGGTGTTAGGTACTGCAAAGTAAATTAAGTATAAATATATTAAAATATAAATAATATTTTAATCAACACTTGAAAGTTATATTCTTTGGTTATATGTTTGCCAATTCACAAAATGCATTGCCGAACTTTTCGCATATTCTCGTCCAGCAGAAACTTATGTATGGAATTTTTTTTCTTAATTATAATAGGATAAACATTGAGGAACACTGCAATAGTTTTTTGAAGTCGAAGTCATTATATATTACAATGGTCGCTAATATGTATACAAAATAACGACAATTTCAATGTTTTCCCGAAGTGGATGCTTTTGAAATCTACCACCAGGCGTCGCCCACTTTGCGGTTCCTCGCCAATAACGAAGTTGTTAAACCTATTTTGAAACATTTTGATAAATTAGTTCAAGTTACAGAAAAATTGTGTGACGCCAAGGATAACACGGGGCTCTGCTGAAATTTTACTCTCGAATATATATTTGTGATTTCAAATTTCTTGGATATCTTCTTTTATTGGGTACATTTTGCAAGAAATAAACAGTCCAAAGAAGTATTTACAACGAATTTAGAACGAATCTTCTAGTTTCCAATCGAGTAAAGGATGCGGATGGTTCGAAAGATTTTAAAAAAGAGTTTCTTTACATAACGTCAAATCGGAAATGAGAAAATATATTTATATATATCCTTTATATCGGAAAATGAGAAATCTGCTCCAGGCTTTAAAGCAGCAAAGGACAGGTTAACTGATTTATTTTGTTGTAACGCTTCAGGTGATCATATGTTAAAACCAATGCTGATTTATGTCTCTAAATCCATGCCCTCTCAAACATAAAAATAAAAATGAACCATAGGTATTTTGGAGGGCAAATATAAAAGCGTGGGTTACGGGTACGGCAACATTGTTTACGGACTGGTTTACTAACTGTTTTGTGCCTAGCGTTAAGTAATATTTAACATCAAATTGATACCGTTTAAAGCATTTCTTTTTATCGACAATGCTCCTGGACATCCAGAATTCCTCAACTTAATAGATTCACATGTGAGAATTGACTTTTTACCTTCCAACACCACTTCGCTTTTACAGCCTTTGGATCAGGGAATAATAGCTGCATTTAAACGGTATTACCTAAGGCGTACATTCAGCCGTATCTTCAATTGTATGGAATTAGATCCTTATTCATTGACCATTACCGATTTATTGGAGGCAATTTAATATTTCTCGCTGTATAACTATAATCAAAATAGCCACTGATAAAAAATCTATGGTCAGAAGTTGTTATTGTAATCTCAGAAGTGTCCCATAAAACAGGGGAAGTCCATGATATTCTACATGAGGGTGCAAGTGATGCACAAAATACATGGGGAAGGTTTTGCAAATCTGCAATCAGGTGATGTTGAAGAAGTTCTAGCCGCCAATGACAGCTTAAGAACAACTTAAAGAACAGAAGCTCCTCGAAATACTGGAAAATAGTAAAGCGATGAAGACGATAACTCCCAAGAAGTAACAACATAATACAATATATCATCTACTCAAAAACTTCAGGATAGGGTTTTTAACGTGGATCATTCTATGGAAAGGAGCTTGAAATTCAAAAATGGCTTAGTAGGCTTATTGGCACCTTACAAAAAAGCGCAAAAGAAAATTGAAAGAAAATGAAGCAGCCAACCATCCTCTCATATTTTAAAAAATTAAGTTTTTAAAGCATTTTATACTCTTAATACAAGGTAGATATGTATACATTTATTAAATTTGACTATCTAACTGCTTATTTTATTGTTTCATTTATAATGTATATACATAATTTCAACATATTTCTTTCTATGTAGGTACTAATATACGTATCCAAATTGGGATTATATGTCATATTCTTCTTTTGATCATGGATCCCTCGCCAACAACGGTTTCACCAACTGTACCTTTCTCTTCGTAACGTAGCCCGCGGTTGAACAGAGATTACTGTAATAGATAGATTTGATAGAAATTTGTACCAAATAAAATGTTTGCAATTTTATTATTTAGAAAAATAGGCTATCAATTCGGACACCGTTTTATAATAAAATTGGTCATATCTCGTAAAACAGTCAATTTAAGGTAGCATAACCTTATATTGAGAGAAATAAGAGAGCTTTAAAATATTTTAGATTAATTGGGCATATCTAAAAACATTTCATACCTACTAAATTGTCAGATATTATTTATGTACAGTTTCTCTAAAACTTGGAACTCCCAAAATCACCCTGTATAATAAATTTTGTAATCTAAGTAAATACCTTCTATGTAGGATTCTTCGTCTAACATTGTTTATCATTAATTGATACACCACACAGATGAGATTGGTCACTGTAGAATGTCCTTTGATAAAATCATACTGGTGTCCAGATATAACTGGTTCCCTTCACCAGATCAGAAATTATGTTAACACTTATGGATTCCATGGTCTTATACATATATTACAGGTGTTAGACTGATAGAGAGTTAGCGGTTCTTTTTCTTATTATGTATGCATTTTTTGCTCCCATAGCTTGTTTCTTTAATTTGTTTATTCATTGAACTATCAATTCACATCAGTAGGTACAGTAGTTTTGGGTAGAATATGACTTTTCTATGTATTTTTGCTGCTTTATTTATTTCTTGTATCTTCAGAAACAGCTTCTTTAATTTTTTACCAACCGAGTATATTATCAATATCATCTTCCTCTTTTATCAAATTTTTTAATAATTTTTACTTTCTTCTTTTTTTGTAACGGATCTTTGAGGTGGGATTCCATAAGTGGATTGAATTTTCCCTTTTTATATAGCTTTTCTATTACTATATACTATAATTTATACAGTTATAGGTCAACTTTATAATGTATACTTTCTTGCTGAACAGGGGGTACAATTTCACTCCCTTTCACTCCACTGCTGGCGCCCATGAGTACATCTACTGTAAAAATCACTCTTAATAAGGAATTATTTTAGATTGATAAAGTACTAGGAGCTAAAGAATTCAATAAACATTTGCTTTTTGCATTACAATTTTTTTTATTATAAAACATAAATACATTAAAGCAGATCATTGTCCCATACAATTATTTAAAATCTATTATCACAAAAAAAACTGCACACAGATTGAATATTCTGCTGTGCAGTGTAAACAATTTAAATAACTATATAACTGATTAACAAGAATGAGCAAAAGTATAATTAATGTTCATTCTGTTTATGAACAAACGACTTTGAAGCACACTGAAAAGTTGTAAAAATATCAGCATGTTAATGATATCACATTTTCCTTTATGATATAATTCAAATAATTCATCAAAGAGTCATTATCTTAAAATATACTTCATTTATAATAAAAATAGTCAAAAATTTTAAATCAGCAGCAACACAGTGTAGGTTTTACGAATAACCAAAAGATTGTAAATGAAGGGTCGAATCTGCCCAAAATGTTCCTCTTGTCAAATAAGTTATCTGTTAATAGGTGTTAAAAAGTTTGTGACTATAATTACTTTTGTAGTAAATAAATACAAAATTAATATCACAGCCAAAACTTGAAATCATGTTGAGTAATATAATAGCTACAATATCATTGCTGTTTGATTTTAATTATTATTTTCTTTAAGCAGTGATTACCCAGAAGGAAGATAAATCAATAGTGGTGTGCTCCATAAATATCTATTGTACCATTAATCTTCAAGCTATCTCTATTCTAGTCACAAAGCAAAACACAGTATTAATGTAGCAAAACCTAATCGCTCATAGTGGTTCATAATTAGAGCTGCTACCCCAAAACGAAGAGCTGCCCTCATTACTTTAAAGTTCCAAAACATAAGTATAAGTCGTAGCCAGGTTGATGATGCCTCAGGTTTGTCAGATTCAGCTTTCAGTAGTTTCTTTGGATGATTTACATATTGTTTTTGCTGAAGGATTCTATGAAATACACCAAACCTCTGGACACAATAACTTATACCAGATTCTGAATGCATTTTTGAATTCTCTTGTTGGTTCATCTAAAACAAGTATAAAAAAAATTGAGGATATCACAGATGATTTATTAGATATTACGTGATGAAAAACAAACATGAATTACAGCTACTACTGTTAAAAAAGCTATTATACTTTATCCATGAAGAGTCGTTTAAAATTTCTTGTTTAACATTACACAAATCGTCAAATTCAAAAGATAAAACTTAAATAATTTTTGTTCTATTTTGTTTGATTTTGATTTGAAATTTCTTTTATTTTGACATTTGACAAAACTTAATATACAATGTGGCTAAATATATTATTAAACGAGATCTCTTAAATAGAAGAGGAGGGATGTCGATAGGTTTCATTTAAAACTTTAAAATTACAAATTACATTTTGATTAATTATTTTCAAATCTAATTAAAATAATTTGCAGTATATGATGTCAAGATCCTATTAGAACAGTAATTTATGAGTTGTATTGCCTAATTAATAAAGCGGCGTTTATTACATGCTCTCTAACTTTGACTTGACAACTGACAATACCGAATACCGATCACCGAACCGAACAGTGCAAATGAACGAACATTTTTGATTCGGCGCTCGACTAGTAGTCGGAGTAGGGCAGCCAAAGTAATTTTTTGATTATTATAATTAATTGGTTTATTTTAAATTAGGTATTAAGAAAAAATCAAAACATGGCTATTAATCTACAATATGATGCCATAGGCAAAAGTTTTGTCCAACAATATTATATGCTTTTCGACGATCCCATCCAAAGGCCTAATTTGGTAAACATGTATAATGTGAGTACCACACTTATTACAGATAATTGTGAATCCGTTCAATTGTTTGGCTAAGACGCATTTTGGTTAAATTTCTAAAAACCGCTTAGTAAATAATCTGGAATGTAGGATTTTTGATAAGCCCCATGCAGTAGGTCATAAATAGATTGTAGACCATTAGATTTACCAGATAACCCTAAACGTTCTTGAATTTGTGATAAAAAGTACCGGTCTTTGTTTATTATTAAATCATGAGCCACCACTAACATTTTACTTTTATTGTACAGGTAGAACATTCATTTATGACCTTTGAAGGCAAACAATTACAAGGATCTGCAAAGATAATGGAGAAATTAAATGTAAGTATAAGAAATGTCAACTCTTATAGGATATTACCTAATGAATAAATGAAAATAATCAGGATGGAAGCATTGCTTTCAAAGTTCTAAAAACTGCCCTCCTTTACATGCCTGCTTTGGATACCTCCTCTGCCTTCTTTAAGAAATACATCTTTCATCCTTCTAATGTTAGTATATATCAATATATTATGTTTATTTTATCTAATTTAATACAAATTAATTAACATTGTTGATAATCTAGCATCTTGTTCTTCTAAAACTAATATTTTATTAGTATTTACAAATTGAAAGTTTTTAATGGAAATGTATGAATATACACTCCCATTATTTATGATTATTCTCATTTTTGCAATGAAAAGTGCAACAGTTACTTTATTTTATTTATTAATAATGAGAGGTATAGTGAGTTCACTCAGCTTGGAAATATTTTGACAGTCATTGTCAGAAACATGTAACATAAAAATTCCTATGACAGCTTATTAATAGCTGAAATAAAGTTACTGTAGCAGACTTCTTTAATTGAAAATAGAAGAATAATTGTGAATTATGGAATCATTAATTTCAAGTTAACTTTCCATTTGTAAATGACTAAAAAATTCAAAAATAAACTTGTAATTAAAGAAATTCTATTTTAATAATAAACTTGATGTGAATAGTTTTTCACTTACATCAAGCTACAATTAATTTGTATTCAATTAGTAACTTCCAGTGTAAGTCAAAATTTGACCAACATAGCAGAAAATGTATTACTAAATTTACTCAACAATTGGGACTGGGTTCAGTGTAAGAACTGAGAAATTTTTGTGGTGTATGTTTTTAAGAGGATATGACCTCTACGGATGTGAGATCACTTACTGATTATTATACAATGATTTTTACTGGATGCTCAACATTCTTTTTTATGTAATTTCCATTTAAAATGTCTTGCTTTTAAAAGCCTCCGCCATTATACACCATGAAACAACAAGAAATGATTTTAATGTTAAGCATTGCACATGCTCAAAAGGGGTCATTCTGGATTTTACAAAAAATACTGGTTTGTTAGCAGGTTAGGTTTGGTTATTTTTAAACTGCCTTTTATCAGATTTAGCCATACAGCTCACACTCCCTCTAAGGGGAAAATTCAGTTACCTACGGTATCAAAAAGATTGAGCTCTGATGGGACTCTTTCCATGCTATCAAACCCTAGGTGACTTGGTATGCTGGAGTATCTCCCAAAAATTTTCATACACATCTGGCCGTAGAGAGCAGAACAGCTTTCCGCATGGTCTTGTAGAGATGTTCATTCAGAGCTAGCTTGTTTATTGTTTCTAGGAGGTTCTTCAGAATGACTCCAGTAGTAGAAAGAATAATAGGTATTGTCTAGGTACTTTCTATTCTCCACTGTCTTCGTATTTGGATTTCCAGATCCCGGTACTTGGCGATCTTTTCATTCTGTTTAACATGAAGATTATTATTGTTATATATTAATATTGATATTATTTTTCATATATCCTCTTCTTGGGTTTAATATGTATCCAAAAGATCCTTTTATTGGATTTATTTATAATTTTTAATATTTTGAAGTTCGTTTTGTTCTTCCAGTATTATCCCTTTCAATTTTTAGAAATGTCAATCTTTGTTTAAAGATTATATAGTTTACTATGTTCCGATATTGGTTTTACCTAACAGTAAGTAATTTAAATGTTGTTTTGTTTCAATGACTTTTGTATCGTGAGATGGCATCCATTATCAATTACTTATTCTGCACATGATGTTATATACTGTGATATTGCTTTTGACTATTTTCCGTCTTAAAAATATTAATAATATATTTTATCTTTGCTAATTGTCTTTAAAAAAAAATATGTTATAATCACTTCTTCCTGTTGGTGTCACATTTGTAGATGTTGATCACAAAATTGTAAAGATATTTGTAGTAATGTTTTATATTTTAAGAAGAAACCAACCATTTTCTATGCTGATTGATACAGATATGGGAAAATGTGGGGTTCACTTTATTGTACTTGTTAAAAAAATTATTGTTGTGCTAGGGAGAGGCAGTTTTCAAAGCAACAAAATAATTTTACTAATTTTAGCAATTGCCATTTTAAAGCGATTTTTATGTTTTAAAAGATAAACTTTTGTAAATTGTTAATAATTAAAAAGAGAAGCCGAAATCTCTGCAGAAAACTTATGTTTTCTTTATATAAGCTTAACATATATAAAGAAAACGAAAAAAAAATCAGATACCTGGATTTGTGACAGTTCCAAACATGGTCTTTTTTACTTATTTCTATGCACTACAATGCCCCAAATTCAATAAGGTTTTCCTGACATAAAAAAAACCTATATATTAAGTTTCAAAATACTTTCCCTTCAAAAAACAAAAGGCATAAGGATCAGAGAAGATCTATTGTCTTAAATTCAATAGGATTCGTTATGTCAATAGTAACCTATTTACCTAACCTAACATATGTACCAAGATTCAACAGTCTTGTAATTTTCTACAAAATGAAATGGAATAAAAATATGAGCAGACCTACAGTACATTCAACCAACTTACATCTCTAAATGATTTGGAATTCACAGAAAACCTTTTGTTATAGTAGTAGGAATGCTAAACTGCACTGGAGTTCTCCATAATATTTTTAATTACTTACTATGTTTAGAATATTTTTGCCTGTATTATCAGTTAGAGTTAATTTGTATAAAATGAGGAGCAAAACTTCAAATGGAATTTTCATTATTATTGTTTATTTGGCTAATAATGAATGAATAAATATAATGGTAACCTGCTGTACAATTATTTTGTAAATATCATTATAATAGTGTACTTACTGATTATTAAAATTTATAAATCATCATCATTGTAATTAAATTCACTACCACTTATTAATTTTTCACATTTATTTACAGTTTTGGTCCATATTTCTGGAGTTGCAGTTTTAAGAGCTTCTTGCCACATTTCCCTAACTGCATCATCACTGTATCCACTGCATTAAATGTGATTATCATAATATGTTTTACATATACCACAGATGTGTTCGATGGGATTAAACTGGCAGTGATATGTAGTAACCATAGTACTTGATGTCCATAACTTGATACAATTTGGTCAAATATATAAACTGTTGGTTTTTCATTATGTTTCGAATCTACCAGTAACTCGTTTTGGATTTATTTGAAGGCATAGTCCGGAAAATTTAAATTATATTTAAAAGTCTAGTATATTAGTATAACCAAATTACTCCTTTCACATAAAAATAACCTATTATTTTCTTTTTTGAATTGAAATCCTAAATCTCTCAACACCTCCCAAAGGCTAGTCCTCTTAATTTCAGAAACTTGTCTTTCTCTTATTTTTTTAAGTAAAGTATCTAAACTGCCATGTTGATTGTTTTCATGCATTCGATACAAAATATTGAGAATTTCAAATTTTTCTCCATCAAATAAGTCAATGCTCCTAGAATGTTTACGAGTTGTTTTCTTGTGTTTGTGATATTCAGTCACAGTAAGATCTTGAGAATCTCAGACAGTCTATGACAAATGCATTGATTTATACATAATAATGACTTTAAAGGTCCACCATTGTCTCTTTCTGTGGTAAAGTATTTATGCACATTTGCAATTTATTCATCCAATATCCAACTTACGTCTAGGCATGATGATTACTTGAAACTACACATTTGAATTACAGTATACTGACTACAATATGACAGGAACTTTCTAAGTGTTATGTTAATCATTTAGGAAGAATTCTGTTAAAATTCCGTTCCATCATTTAGAGGTGTAAGTGGATTGAATGTAATGTATTTTTTCAAATTCAATAGTTATTTCAAGAGGAACCTATGTACCAAGTTTTAAAACTGTGGCATTTCCTTCAAAAAAATGTATAAAGATAAGAGAATAAGAATGCCTATTGTCTGCATTACAATAGGGTTCTTTCTTACACTAAGAGGTCATTATGTATTTTATCCAAGCTTTAAGACTAGGATTTTTCCTTCAAGGAAAAGAAAAGACAAAGGAGGAGACAAAAGCCTATTGGCTCCAAATCATGTAAGATTATTTTATTTTACCAAGAATGTATGATTTTATGCTGATTCTAAATTCTCTAGATTCTAGAAGTTTTCACTTCAGAAACACTCCAAGCACGAGATAGAAGTAATGTATCTATATCATTATTTGCAAAAATGTTTGATTGAGTCAAAAAAATCTTAGCAAACCATGATGACAAGTCCAACTTCAAACCAATGAGAGGTATACAAGATGGGTTTTGCACATTACCTTTGATAATGTTTGTCTCCGTTACTTGTAAAAAGTCAGCAAGGAACATAAATTTCAGATCTGACTGCAAAAACTTTTACTACTTATAATAACATGTTTTTACAATGTACTGTTTTTACTGTAAATAATATTATGCTTTATTTTTTTAGTCATTAGGATTCCAAAATATAAATAGACAACTTACTGAAGTAGACTCTCAACCTATGTTTGATGGTGGTGTACTGATAAATGTATTAGGAAGATTGCAAGTGAGTATTTTTGGTATATTTAGTATTAACTAAGGCATGTGATTTCACTAATCCTTGCTCTTCTTGACCACTCAGTTCTGTTCATTGTATGTTCTTCATTTAAACCTCTCTCTGTCTCTATCTCTCATGTTCTCTGTCATACAGTTTTTCCTCTTTCTCTTTTAACAGCTCTATCCCTCATCCCATATAGATCTCAATTCTACATCTGACATAACCAAACCATTGCAGTCCTTGTTTTTTAACCTGTTTTGAGACTGTAGTCATCCCAGCTATTTCCCTAATTACATCATTCCTAATCTTGTCCCTGTTAGCCTTACCCAACATCCACTGTAACATTTTCACTTGCTATCTTTATCTTCTTTTCCTGAACCCCTTTTTACATGCCACACTTCATCGCATATTCCGCTCATTTGCTTTCAGTTTAAACCATTCAATATATATCCTATGCTCAGTTTCTTGATCTAGTGTCCCATTTTTTGTTATGTATTTAACTACAAGATATTTAAATTCTATTTGTCCTAGTTTTTCCCCAAGCAATTCGATGTCCCCAATCATTCCTGTTCCTCTCAACAACATATACTCTGTTTTTGTCCTGCTAATTTTAAGTTTTCCCTCTTCAATAGCTCTTCTCCAATCCTCCCATCATATTTTTGCTTCCTTTTACTAACACAGTATCATAAGTAAAATCCTAGTAAATCTGCCAATTTAAATATGGTAAAAAATTGTAACCCTCATTAAATGAGATAAAATACTATATGAAAACTTCAAATTTTACCATCCTTACCAGTAAAATACTACTTAAATTATAGGTATGTTTAAGTCCTAACAGCATTTTTGCTTGACTCAATACAATCACTGTATATATAATCTATTATATGTACTGGTAGAGGGTAAATATCTTCTAAAAAATTTTACATTATATTGTCGGCAGACTACCAAAAGTGACCAACTCATGTATAGGTTTCAAGAATAAAGGTTAAAGTTTTAGAAGTAACTATAAAATCCAACATGATAACTACACAGTTTTTAAAACTTTATGTTACTGGACTTAGTCATCTAGAAGCAAATCCATATCTCTATCTGAATTTGACATTGTTGGTTCTGGAACCCTATCAAGCGCTGTATTGTTCACAGGCAAAGACCTGTACCAATCATGATATTTAGGCGGAATTATGTTACTTGTTACGAGTTTAAGCAAACTGTTTTTGAAGAACATGAAACTCAGTCCTTTGAGGATCTGTATTTAAAGAAAATACATCCTGGATTTTCCTTTTCATGCCTCACATTTAATTTTTAGTCATTCAACTTTTTTGCCTTTTTCATCTTTGCCTTTATTTTTAATCAAGGTACTAGCGAGAGATTTTAAGTTTATGAAATCAGAAAATCTTAATTCGTGGACCTTATAGGGACTGGAACTTTTATTTTTATTATGTTTGGAACATGCAAGTCTAAAAACGTTTAAAAGGTCATTGTGTGTTAAGATGCATACATTTTTCTTTGCTTTTTCGTTTGCAGAATGCATTTAGTCTACCTACATGTACATGTTACAATCATGTCTTCAGGTGTTCTGTTTGACGGACATGATGACCTCTGCTATCTGAAGTATCAAACAATCCATGTCCAGACAAAGAATACTTTGCAAACTTGAATTCTTTTCTCATTTTTCTGGAAATGATATTTCCTAGATGTTCCCTTCTTAGCTCCTGTCCTATCATATGGACCCTTTGATATTTTGGCTTAGTCCATGAAACACAAGATAAAATGAAGTCCTTTTGCCTTTGGTGCAGCAACTTCCAGAAACTTGGGCAAAGCTTGTCACATTCTTCTTCTGAAAAACTCATTGATTATTGAAACTTACAGTTGTGGCAGTTGACCTTTTGTGGTTTTTTTTAGATCTTTTATGACAGTTTTGCTTATATAGGGTTTACATAATGATCTGAACCAACCGTTTGGTAATATTCTTCTTCCATTTTTCTGGATTAACTTTTTTCCATCTTGGTTTTTTTTACTAATACTTCATCCTCGCTACTTTCATCTTCACTACTTGCAATGTAATTATTTATTACACCATTTTCGACTACAAATAATGGTTCTGATTCAGTATAGCTCGACATGTCACGTAAATATGTTGTGGATTGAGTGTCTACATTACATATTTTGGTAAAGATAATTCATAATGTCCTGGACCTGACGTAATCGTTTAGTGACGTCGATCTACGAACTAAACAAGGAAATCAGGCATTGCTAAAAACATGCAGTTCTCTTCAGTGCGTTATCGTAGCGAGACAGAGACGAACTAGTTTTTGCGTTAGTGAAATAGCTTTTTATATTTTTATTTTATAACTTATAAACAATCTAAACCTGAAAAAAAAAACAAAAAGTGGCTTAAAAACACAATTATTTTTGAATTCACCAAAAATTCTATCAATTTCTGATACTTTAGTTTGGGCTTATTTGATTTTAAAACATTGTTTTTAGTTGTTTGAGGGCCTTATCCCAACCTAAAAATGGATTTATACAAAACTGTTTAATAAATTAGGACCACTTTTTGTATGGGCGACCTCTTGAACAATATTCTGCGGTCTTTTATGAAAGTGATTATGCAAAAAATGTCATGCGAATATTTTCCCCATGGAATTTGAGGTTTTCGTCTCGTATAAACATGTTTTGCTGAATTTACAACCAAAACCCTATTATTTTTCTATCATACATTAATTTATTATTTATTTATTTGTCCTAGATTTTTTTCAGTTCTTAAAAGGTTTATTTACAAGCCAAATTAGTGCAATGTAAATATTTTACATTTTTACACAGCAATTCTTATCGGCAGTGGAGACGGAAAGTCGTAAATTTTTATTACATCTTTCAATGTGAGATAAAATAAACATGCGATGACTAATTGGAATGTTTAAGATTGGAAAAACATAATATGTCATGTTTATTGGAAATACTTCGACATCATTAGCACATGCAAATCCTACCCTGTCGCCCAATTTCCTATGAAATTAAAATGGTGCATGTTTTTAGGATCCATTTATTTTTTCGGGCATGCGCATTTACGAGGTCCACGAGGTTTTGAAACATTTCTAGTTATTTTATTTCGATTGTCACCAGTTGAAGTATTATTGAGTTTAGTTGGTTCTGAAATAAAAGAAAACTATAAATTTTTGTTAACAATATGTCTAAGCATGTACATAGTTACAACAAAAAATTTATCTAATCTATAACCTAACTTTTGGTAAATGTCAATAATTAAATACCTGTAATGTTTACTGAACTTTCATTTGTTGCACATAAGGAGGCTATGTATTTCTTCCTGAAAAGCATTTTTTGTTAATTTTCTTTGCATTATAACAATAATTTTATGACACAAAAATAAGTACATATCTTCTTTTTGTTGTGTCTATATGTTTCGGATGTTGGCGACCATCATGGCAGTCTGTATTTTGCAAAAAAAAATAAGTATACTTCTACGTAACGTCTACTTAGGTTAAATTGACCAGACAAGTTTAATCAACTATCTACCAAAAAAAGTGACCAAGTAGCCTTGTCAGTTTTCGCAGAAGCGTATATTGTGACTTAAACATTCAAAGACACACCTGAAATTATGCAACCATTATTACATTGCGACTTGACGATTCTTTTGTAAAAGTTATAATTTTAAGTCATTTGGTCGATAAATACCAAAATGAGGTTTTTTTGACTTGATCACTTTTGCAGTATGCCGACGATATAATTATTACTTTAATATTTATTTATGTATCTATATTTCTTTGTGTTTCAGGTTGATAATGATCCACCGCACGCTTATACCCAAGTTTTTGTTTTAAAACCATTAAATGGATCATTTTTTGTTCAACATGACATTTTTAGGCTGAACATACACAATAGTGCCTGATTTTATTATATCTTCTCTCCTTCTTTATGTTGTATGTTCGAATCAACTGAAAATATGCAATTTTTAAAATCTTCTCTTTTATGTGTTTCTGCTTAATATGAATTCACAATAATAAACTTATTTTCTAAAACATTTGGTGTTTTTATTACATTGTACCCTGTGTGCTGATAAATAATACAAAGATGTTAAATTTCTCACATTCAAGCAACACGTTCTAGTCCGACAACTCGATTGTCGCGTTTAGTTAATATTGCGTTAGGTGCCTGTAACGTGACTCGAGCGGTCTCTGTATATGTGACAATAAGTTGTATAAGTGGATTTCTTTGCAGGTTGAAATATTCTGGCGACTCCCTTGTATCATAGAAAGCCAAAGAAAAATAATTTAATTAAAAACTACATACGTTAGATAATGATTTTTCCTATTTTACAAATGAAAAGGTTGCCAATATGAGTCCATAATGCTAGTATATGGGAAATGAGTCAATACTCACAATCTTCAGTAGATCTTATAAATAAAGTTTGTAAATTTTGTGCTACCGGTTTCAAGGCTTACAATATTTGCTTCATCATCAGGCCCCAGTACGTTATTTTTATTTGTATTAAAAACTAAAAGCTAAAACAAGTAATATGACACTAAATAATGAAAAAGTGGGTGAGCAGGTATAATATTAATTGATAGTGAGATTGACAAACCAAGTATTGTATTGGGGCATTGATGCCATTGGGAATCTGATTTCTAGCCAGTGTTTGTACAGTATGTTTTTAGAAAGCACTTGCGACTACAATATTGATTGGAAAACATGCATCGCTATTTGTAGAGATGACGTTATGACTGCCAAAAATAGCGGACTCATTGCAAAATTAAATCGATAATGCCAAACATATCCTGGACACAATGTTTTCTTCATCGACAGGCTCTAGCTGTTAAGGTAGTGCCTTCTGATTTAAATGACATGCTTAAGGAGGTAATAAAAATTGTGAATTCTATCAAAGATAGAGCTTTGCAAACCGTGCTAGTCAGAATCGTTTTGCAAAAGAAAGGTATTGACAAGAGTTCTGGAACTGCGAGCTGAATTGTTAATGTTTTTACAACACGTTTATCGCTTTTCTGACTATTTGGTTCTTGAAATTAGCATTTTTTGTCAGATTGTTTAGTCACCGTAACAATTTGAACAAGAACCTTCAACGAAGAGAAGAAAATATTTTAACGGCTAAAGATAAAGTAAAAGCATTTCACCCAAAACTTCGTTTGTGGTCAACCTCTCTGCAAAATATTTGAGTCTTTTTCCATGAGTTCAGAAGATTGTTGAAGATGTGATATGATACAGAGCTTGCATAATTTAAAAGAGCAATTTTAAACGCCTTTTGGGATACATCAATAAATCTGGCTGATGTCACCACAAAAATGAAAGAATGTTTTCTAGATTTAGCTGCTAATGGCATGCTTAAAATGGAATTTTATTCTCAAAGTGTCGACGTATTTTGGATGAAAAGAAAACACGAATATCCAGAGCTGGCAAAAAAAGAAGCTCTTAAATTAATAGTGCTATTCGTCTCTTCATACTTATGTGAACTGACATATTCTTCAATGGTAGACATTAAAACTAAACTTAACTTCCGCAAAAATTCCGAAAATTTGGTATTTAATTATAAATAAACAACTACTTACTATAAACAAAATATTTATTTTATAACAATGTATAACAAATTTGTTGTGTTTGGTATTTGTGAGCAATTGTAATATTTTTAACAATTATGTATACATAAAATATCTACAAAATTATTAATAGATATACTTAATGTTCAACAATTCAGAAATATTTAGCAACCACGGGGTCAAACTGCCATAAATACTTATATAATCTACACAATATATATTATCAAAGGCGCGGTCGTGATAATTAAATAAATTTAATTACAGGAAAAAATCATAAAAACTTTTACCATAAGTAACTTTTAAAATACTACAACATATTAAGCTAGAACAAAATCAGATAGAGAGTATAACATGTCCGCATTATACATGCAAAATATCAATTCTCTTTGTATCCTGAAAACCATTCTCTTTACAGATTGATGAATAGTAATCACTTGGTGCGTCTCTTAAAAGATAAGGCCAACATAATTACATATAAAACAATTAAAACTAATGGCATGCAATTTTTTGTTAAGTTCTGTTTCTGAATATGACCTACTTTACCTCCACACCTGAACCATGAAATTTGACAACTAAATAAAAGACCATAATAATTTCCAGAATAGGGATGTCTAAATGAGAATTTCTCTGGTCGTAACAGGTGATGTTTGATTGTTAAACCTTGTGTGGGTGCATAGACATAACACATTAGGTTTGTGTACATCTTGTGCGAAGGTACAGTGATATCAGATAAAAATTTGTACAGCCTGCTTGCTATACCGAAAACATGCCACTAACAATGATATAACAAACATTCCCATAGTTTGCAAATAATGCTCAGAATATTATCGAAATTTACATAATCAGAAATTAAAATGGCATTAAGGAAAATTAAAACCACAGGAGAGGAGATAACATTGTCATTGCAAGTATAGTATTTATTCTGGCAATTCATACATTGTAGTGCACCTTTAATTTTTCTGTTTATTTCGTTTACAATTTTCGTAAGTGACTTATATCCTTTCATAAATAAGCGATTCAAATATTAAGTGTTAATAATGCGTAAATGATGCTAAGGAAAAGCATTTCTAATGTACATAAATTGGTATAAACAAAACAAGTAATGTTTCTTTGGCGAGCCGTAACAAGTACTAAAAATAGCCTACACTAAAATAATACATAATTACTATACAATGGAAATTATTCACAACTGTAAAAGTGAAACTATTTATTTTACGTTTTCACTTCCAGATGGCGCTGTTGGTAAAATACATTTTTTTGTAAATTGGAGATCAAAATATCCAATAGACAAGTTCTAATTTTAGAATTGTAAATTAATTACCATTGTATAGTAATAAGAGAAGTAAACTGCCACGAGGAAAAATCTTTGGAACAATATGAAGTACAATATCTACTTTTCTAAAATGCCCTTCTAATAGATCTAATAAAAAATAGCTTATAAAAAATGCATATCTAGAGTTATAATAACAGAATCTTAACAAACAAAAGTCTAAATACTATAAAATATTAGTTACTTTTATTATCAAACTTTTGAACCTCTAAACAAGCAATCAAATCAGTGTTTTGGTGTTTGTACAGAGCCTTAATTGTAAAAGATGTACCAATACCTACTTAAATTAAGCGCTATATTCAATTCTCATAACTATAGTCAACTATATAGATGTTTGCCCATATTCAGAGTCAGGCAAATATGCAAAACTGCATATGCATGTTTTTGTATTTTCTTTTGGATTTTGCATATACTGGTACATTTAAAAAAGTGCATATGTATAACAGGTTTTCAAAATGAATTTATTTGTTGATTTATGGTTCAAATACCTTTATACCTGAAGGAAGTACATAGGTAAGGTAAATGTGGGTCTAGCTAACAGTGGACCAGTATTTGACATAATTAGTTTTGTTTTCATTTTAAAACAAATTGGTGTAAGTTACAAAGCTACAGTCGCCAGATGGTTGTAATCTGTGGTTTCAGTCTACTTATTTGTGAAGTCGGCTACATTAGTGTCAACCATTTTGAAATTGTGTCACTTATGGTAAAGCATGTTACACATACTACTATTTTTTTTGAGGAATTCAAGTAGAAAATAAATTGGTAAGTATACTTTTTTATATGAATAAACTTATTTTATTTTAGTGGTATTAAATTCCAATAATTTCAATAGTGCGGGAGGTTATTATTTAATGTGTTCCGCCAAATCTTCTTTACCTTAAAATTATTTGCGGTGTGTCAACTACTAAAGCAAATTTTGGCCATTACACCAATACTTGACACTAGTGTCAACTACTGGAGAAGAGATACAGATTTAGAGAAAGTAGATATCTGTTCTTTTTAATTAGTAATTAGCATTTGTGTATTTTTATTATTATTCTGCCATTGTCCGAACCAGTAGTTAATACAGCATGTCAACTATTGCAACACATTATGTCAACTATTAACATCACGGTTTTTTTTTGTAGGTAAAAATGCCTCATATAAAAGGGACAATGTTAGCTTATCCTGAAGAAGCTAGTACAGAAGCCTCTACAGCAAAAAGACCAGGTTCCCAGAGTAACTCTTCTGTACAATGTGAAAGGAAAAATTCGTATTTCTAGAAGAATGGGACCAAAGACTATTTTGAAATCCGATAAAGAAAACTTACTTGTACAATAGATATTAGACTCAGCGGAAGCAAAATTTCCACTAACGAAAAGGCAGCTACTGGGTAGTGTACAAATTATAATAAAACGAATGAAAATAGACACTGCATTTGTTGGTGACCGCCCTAGCTGTGCGTGGTATGAAAGTTTTTTGAGAAGATATCCTTTAAAAAAAACGAGTACCACAAAATTTAACAGCTTCCACAGCCTTAGTAACTAAGCACGGACTAATAAATTGGTTTGATGGAATAAAAAATTATCTGTCAAATTATATTCAGATACTATAACGCGTTTATAGTATCTGAAGATACTATAAACGCGTAGATAGTGAAGGTACTATATCCTTCACGCGTTTTCAATGCAGATGAGACTGCATTATTTCTGAACCCAAAAAGCGTACAGGTACTGGTTGGTAAAGGTGAAAAAAATGTTCACCAATAGGTTAGTGCTGATGAAAAAGAATGCATGACTGTTTTGATAACTGCAAGCGTTGATGGCAATTTTGCTACTACTATGATTATATAAATATAAAAAAATTCCCACTGAGTTTGTCTATAAAGTGCCAAAAGGTTGGTCGACAAATCTAATAGTAGCTGGATAAATGGAGAGCTATTCTTCGAATACATAGCAAATATCTTTCTTCCTTGGCTACAAACAAAACATACAGACACGTGTTGTATTATTTATTGACGGTCACACTAGTCATCTAATACTGCATACCAGTGAATTTTGCAGTAATGGAATAATACTCATAGCATTACACCCCAATTCAACTCATATTCTCCAGCCACTTGACGTAGGATTTTTTAAGTCTATGAAAACAAGGCGTAAAGCAATAGTTTACCAGTGGCGTGTAGATAATATTCAATCACCTAATTTAAGAAAGCTGATCTTGCTCCTCTTGTAAATAAAACTCTTGAAAATTTTGAGAAACAAATTATGAAAAATGCCTTCAGAGAAAGTAGTTTAATGCCTTCGGATAAGAATGCTATAGACTACTCAAAAGTGAAAGACAATTGTCACGAAAATCAAAATGACTTAGAAGATCCTTCAATACAGTCAATAGCTGAAACATTATATGATGAAGATGGTCTTGCTTTCCTGGAAAAGCAAATACGCGAGGAAAAATTGCTGGTATTTAAAAATTGTCATGAAGATTGGAATGGTCAAGAACAAGGACAAATCTCTATTCTTTATGTGCAAAAATTTAACCAGTAGACTTCATCTGATTTCAAAAGTACAAAATATAGATGAAAATCACATACTCGAAACTTCTACAGTACAAACAACTGAAGGATTGGACCTCTCAATGGAAATGTTAACACACACAATGTGAGGTATTGGAGTGACACAACTTCTCACGTCTTTCGTAACACATACTCAGTTTCAAAAAAAAAAATGTTTGGGCAGGTATTTTGGGAAACCACATAGTTGGGCCTGTTTTTCTCAATATTAACTTAACCGGTGAAGTGTATCTGGAGATGTTACAAAATGCAATTGAACCGTTAATACTTAAAATTCTGCAGGCTAACTTAGATGAATTCAGCAGCTTGGAAATAACGTTTCAACAAGATGGTGCTCCTGCATACCATTATGGTGTAGTAAGACGTTACCTAGATGAGGAATATCATCGTGGTAGATGGATTGAGCGACGAGGTACGATAGAATGTCCAGCTCGATATTTGAAATCTAAAGTTTACGCTACAGCACCTGATACTATTGACATTTTCAAACGAAGAATTGTTGAAGAATGTAGGGCAATTTCCCCCGACACATTTGAACGAGTATGTCAAGAGTTTAGAAATAGGATGCATTACTGTCAGGGAGTAGATGGAGCACATTTTGAACACTTACCATAAGAACTGGTTGTTAAATATTTAATAATTAAATGAGAAGCTACAATTTTAGTATTTATTTATTTATTCATCAAAAGGAGCTTAAACTCAAATAAACTTATTATGACTGAATAGATATTTTCAATACCTTTCAAATGAGGTATCACTTGCTATCAGGTTCCATTTAAAATTATCTGTCACAGTGGCGCTGTAACGTCATCTGTCACTATTACGTCATGTTATGAATAGTTGAGAAGCCTACGTATGTTTATTACCTCCCTCCAAATTTTACTATTATAATAATCACCGTTCAAAAGGTACGAGGGGGGGTTTATACTTATTTAATTAAAGTAATTTCTTAAAAGCTTCGTTTTATTGTATAGTAACTAGATTAACAACTCATATTTTATAAAATTAATATATTTAACCGGTTCATGACGTGCATATTTTTTTAAATAAATGCATATACATGCATATTTGATACAAATAATATGCATATATATGCGCATATATTTTATTTTTCAGCCTGCATATTTTCCTGACTCTGCTCATACTAAATAAAATATAAAGTGTTGAAATTCGAAGGACAGTACTTTTATGATTTTGAAAATTTAAATAAATTTGAATATAGAAAAAAATTTGAATTTTATAGCCCTATTAAAAGTTACCTAGACTCACGTAATTAACTAATTTTCGTTTTTCAAAATGAACTTATTTAGAAGCTTATTTGTTCTACTACATGTAATAAAAATCAGAGAATTATATAACAATGAATTTTCGACACAGCAGATTTTTGAAAATTTAGAATTTTCCGGGCATAGAGCGTTTGCAAAAGTATGCAAAACCAGAAAAGAGCCGTTTTATTTTTCTCTCCACCATTGTTTTGGAGATATCTTAAAATCTCGTATTAAATACATACCACATTTTCAAAATACTTAAAGAATTTTCCAATTGGCGAATTTCCAAAACGTGGTTTTTACAAATTTTTTCACAAATTTTCATTTCTACGTAGATTTTTTCTGTAGTTATTGAACAAACAATTTTTCATACGAAATATAATTGCGAAAAATTTTAATTTTATCCATTTTTATTGCAGATAGATTAGATTACGAGATATTCAAGATAAAATGTTGACAACTTGTCTATCGTTTTCTAAAAAATGTTTCTAAAATTTCTAGAATATTTTCAATTCAAATATACTCAAATTCTAGTCATAAACCAGCTTTTGGGAGACGTTTTAACAAAAGTCGAAGTTCCATCTCATTACAACTGCCTTAAGCTATTTTTAAAGAGTTTTGCACTGGGTTATAAAGAGTTTAGCTTACATAATGGACTATTCTTTTATAGAACACTACTTCCGCCGATCATCTGCTCACGAATGGTGGAGTTATGTCACAAAATGAAAGCAATATCTAATAAGGAAGAGAAAAATGTGGATGATATTAACTGTTACAAAGGTTTAAGGAGCGAAATACGTTATGTAAAACAGTATACAGGTAAAAAATTAGTGGATAGTGTTATATTTGGTATATAGTGAAAATACTCTGTATTTTCTCCCCATGTACTAATTCAGAACATTTCATTCTTGTTTTTTACAAACCGGAACTGCAAATATTCGATATCATAGTTCCGTAGTTTTAATGCATCAGTTGTCATTTTGACTACACTAATCCCTCTGTGGCATTAAATCACAGATATTTCAGAGATTCATGTTCAATTCGATTTTAATTTGTGTTCGATTTGAGTTCAGTTCAATGCCAAATGTGATATTAAGAAAGGATATTATTAAACACAAAAGTGTAAACTGTATTTAAAGAGAAATGTAAATAGAGAATCAATTAGTTAGTATTGCTGATACCGTTTGTAATGTACTAAGCAACCCGACGTGGGTTACAATTGAAATTGTTGTTATCCAATAAAATAAAATATCCAATAATATATAATAAAATAAAAAATTACAATCTGTATTTATTTTGGAAAGTGAACATGGAAAATCAGTTGAGCTAACACAGCGGGATCTCGACTCCCGCACAAGACAGACGCACAGATTTATTTTAAACCGATATTTCACCAGCCTTTGCTCTAAACTTATTAAACCCTTCATTTTTGTCATTATTTAAAATTCAAATTAATATTGGGACATCTTTTATTAGGTACCTAGCATAGTAGACAGTTAAAATATCACATTTTGCTGACAGATTTACTTCACATTCACATCCCTAATTTACATTTAAAAATTTTTTCGCCTCGCCGTTCCCAACAACAATTTGAACACCAAGCGGGCAACTTTTTCGTAGGTAGCGAACATCAAGGCGGTTGCGAACACGGTTTGCCACAATTTCGATTCAAGGCCTGTGAATAAGGCGCTCGGTCCGTCTTTTCTGAGTAACGTAAGTAATAGCGCAGCTGTGCTCATTCTAGGTCCTTTGGTGAGTCGTTGTCTGGTTTGGGCGACTTGTAGAGGGTACGTGAGGATTGTGGCGATGGTTTTTGATAAGGCACCTGAAATATAAGAGATTTTTATTACATGCATTCATTAGAGGTATATTACTAATAAATTATTTGATCCAAAGGCAAGCCTATATCCGTCAATAACAAAAAGTGTTAGTTATTATTTATTCATTATTATTTATTTATATTTTACGTATATTTTTTACATATATATGTTATAGTTAACGTCCGAAATAAGGTTAATCTCAATATTACCCAGTTAATATTGAGATTCGCCTGTCTATAGTCCATTTCCATCATATTGATAGCACATTATGTATGCAAATCCCTACACCGTTGATACGGGTGACTCAATGAAAAATAGATATTTGTCAACAAGTTTACAGAAGTATATAGGAAAACAATTTTAAATTGAGTATGACCACCAGGTATAAAGGTTGAAGCAGAATAGAATAAACTAGTTTTGAGGCTTACTAATCCCTAAATAAAGTTGCCAGTGTCGGAGTGATGGAGATTAACAGGTACTAATGAATTTGCAAGAAATGTAAGATGTTTATTTTATTGGTTATATATAAAATAATTTGTGGCCGTAACAGGGGTCGATTTGTAAAAAAATTAATATCATTTTAATCAAATTCCATTTCAGATTCACTGCTTTCTTCAGAATCTAAGGGATCTTCAACTCCAATGTTAATTATTACCGGTTCCAGCATTGCATCAGTCATATTCAATTACTGTACTCAATTGCGTGTTTATCCAACCATTCGATTATCTCTCCTTTTTGGCAATTTTTCTGCTAGTCTTGAATGGTAACTAGCATTATCCATGACTATGACAGAATTTTTTGCCTGACGGGAACTTTTCACATTTGTATCAACCCATAGATATGGTACAGTATGACCTTCATTTAGCCAAGTCTCGTCCAAATAAAAAATTGCTTTCCCTTCTTCTCGGTACTTTTTAATAGTTCTTAGATAATCTCGTCTCCAACATACAATGTAATATTTTTCAATTAAAACGGATTTTCTTCTAATCTTTTTCCAACGAAATCCCATCTCTCTCAATAGTCCCCATAATTTCTTGTTGCTTATGATTGGTAACTCTTCGTTTTCTCTAATTGATGTTTGGATTTTGGAAATTCTTTGTTAAAAAAATGAGTGGACGCTGCGTCTTATCATGTTTTTATGTATTTCTTCAATTTCCAAGGGTTTACTCCCTCCACTCTTCTTGGGAGATGAAACAGTTCCTCCTTTTCTTTCTTTTAGGAATGTATAAATTGTTGCTTCTCCAACCCCTGTCATATTTGAACACATGTTTCACTTTCACTTCACTTGAACACGTGATTTCACGAACATTACTTAAAGGGCGTTGATGTACAAGTGCATCGTGTACATTTAATATTATATTTTTCTCTCTTAGACTGAAGGCACCTTTAAAACTGCACTTAACCGGGATGAAACCTGTTGTCGACGTCATTTTTAAATGCAAATAACAAAATATCGACACCAAAAACGTAGGTAGATAAGACATGAACAATGTACATCTACAAACTAAATAGAAGATGCAAACAATTTCTAATTTATATTATTGGCATAAGCTGTAATGTGGCATAAAAACTACTTAAACTATCATTAGTGAAGCCTTATCAGTAATTCCAGGTAATCGTTCAAAGAAGGTATTCTTTTTGTGTCAGGCGATAACTTGTATAGAAAACAATAATCACCTTTATATTACTGTTTACATTTATTTCGTGAAACATTGAATTCTCTCGTTAATCACCCGTGTATAATTAACAATAATCGTGTGGCATATATACCGACGTTTTTTACGCACAAAAAAGGTATAGTGAGATTAGTGGACACTTATTTTACAGATTTTTTAAAAGATAATGAATTGTTGACGGCATCTTAAAATATTAATTTTTTTTATTTATTTCAAAACAAGTATAGAGATGCCTATGGTTTTTTGACCTGTTGAGGATTTGCATACATAATGTGCTATCAATATGATGAAAAAGGACTATAGTTGCTTAATATCCGAAGATAAACGATTTTCAGACTTCAATCGGATATTAACCGGCTAATCTTGACATTAACACAACTATCAAATAATCAAATGGCATTCGTGCAAGAATTATTGTTATTTGAAAGTGAAAATTTAAGTATTCAATATGTCCAATGAATTTAAAGACCGGTTTTAGGAGAATATTGATAAAATTATTTCCACAAAAAGGGATGATAGCAGTGCGTATTTATTTCGTGAAAAATATGATTTAATTTGTAATCAAATACGATGTAGTGAATGTGGGAAATGATTTCAAACTTATTGTTCCTTTGCATGAAGGTAAGAAGAAAATTTTATATTACGTAAAAAAAGAGGAATTATTTGATATTCCGTATGAATAGTATGAAGCACATTTAAGTATTGGCTATGGAGGAAGAACAGGAATGTTAAATTTTTTAAATGATAAGTACAAAAATATAATACAAGAAGTGGTAACACTTTTTTTTTAATTTTGCATACCCTGTAAGCAAAAACTCAGTTAAAAAAGAGAAGACCTTGTAAAACCTATGATATTTTCTGAAATGAATAGTCGGTGTCAAGTTGATTTGATCGACATGCAATCCGAAACTGATGAGCCATTTCGATTCATCTTTGTATATTAGGATCACCTTACAAAATTCGTGCAATTAAGATCTTTAACTTCAAAGAAGGCAGATGAAGTAGCTACACATTTGGTAGAAATCTTTTGCATTTTGGGAGCACCTTCAATAACCCAATCGGATAATGGCCGTGAGTTCGTTAACACAGCAATAAATGAATTAAACATATGTGACCGGATTTAAAAATTGTTCATGGAAAGCCTCGGCATATTCAGTCGCAAGGAAACGTCGAAAGGGCTAATCGTAACATTCAGGATATGCTAATAACGTGGATACAAACAAATAATACATCTAAATGGTCTGAAGGCCTTAAATTTATTCAATTAATGAAAAACAGGGTCCTTCATACAGGAATAAAACAGTCTCCCTACGAAGCAATGTTTGGGTCGATTATTAAAATTGATACAGATGATATTCAACATTTATTAGATGAAGTAAGTAGTGCAGAAGGTGGCAAAAATAATAGCAAAGCTGCTGGAACAAATTCATCGGACTCTCATAACAATGATAAGAGCTACTACTACAGATATATTGTAAAGCTATGGGTAGTACGTTTACCAATTAATTATTGTAAGTTGGACATGATTGATTTGTCAGAAACTGACAGTTTGACATTAATGTATAATAATTCAATATCGGGGTACACCGTAAATTAGCAACAATTATTATTTAGTAATTCAGTAATTAATTCAATTTACCTCAATATTGAATTAATAAAAAACAATGTCAAACTGTCAGTTTCTGACAAATTAATCATGGCCAACTCACATTTAAAATATCTGCCAAATTAATACTTTGATGGAAAAACAAAAATATCTAGAAAACTGATAACTTTAGGTATAGGTAGTACTTCATAAAATTTGAAGTACGATATTAGTACTTTTCGATAGTAATATAAAATATACGGTGTTCTATTTAAAATTACCAAGAAAATAATGTACTTACATTTTGACTTACCCTGTATTTATTTTAACGAATATTATGAAAACAAATATGTTTTATAATTTTTAACAATTATTAAAAAACTATGGTTGCAATAGATCAATGTTCCTATACTCCTTTTTAATTATACAGGGAATTAAACTTAATACGATTTTCAGGTAATATTGGTTATAACTTTTTAAATAGCCGGTATAACATAATAAAACTTTACATTGTTGTGATGTAGAAGTGGAGCAGATTTCAAATTTAAAATAAAATACAGAGTGTTCCATTTAAAAAAACATAAGTTTGGTCTGCCACCATCTTATGGAACACCCTGTAAGATTGTAACTAATTTTAAAATGTGCAGTGTAAAGCTGCCTACAATCTTTGTCAATAACCTTTTTTGTAATTTTTACTATAACAGAACGACTGAGCTTCCTCACACTAATCAATCACCCTGTATATGAAGCGACACAACTTAAATGATGTGTCTAGATAAAGTTAACAAGATTTATTCAATCAAGATTCGTGATATACAACATTTGAAAAAACGAATTCAACCAGCATTTAAAAACTTTGTATATAGATGTTCAAAATCAATAATTTGTTTTAAATTTTATATATGAAGCCCCAGTACTAAAATATTTACCTAATAGAAAGTATGCGGTAGCAGTTTTGATAGGAAATCTTCTCTTCAGCGCTTCATATAACGTGAAATTAATAACAGGGTTGGAAACTAACAACAGCGAGGGCGCTACTCCATTCCATAAAGTGGATATACCTTCTGTGGTCGCTATATGCACTAGTCCATCCAACAAGCCAGTGAATTGGAGTTCTTCGTCACATCTTTTTAATCGATTATTTACTACCCAGAGAGGATTTGTCGTAATAACATTCAGAACACCTAAAAAGTGATCAATATTAATCAAATTATTAAATATCAATACATAAATAACAGCAGATTAGTACATATTAACGAGAAAAGAGCACATCACGTAAAATACATGTATAGGTTATTCCACGAATATACGACTGTTGTGGATTATTGCGACAACGAATATTTTATTGTACAAGTAGAAGTTTGAAAGTAAATTGGTCTAAACAGTATTCCAATAAAATGGATCTACTGTTAGTTTGACACTTAAACTAAAATTATTTCAGTTAATAGATGTTCAAATAGACGCAAAATTTATTGTGAAATTTAATCCGAAAATAACAAAAATTTTTACGCAAACGGTCCTACAAATAAGTACAATGACGTCTCTACAGCCAAAATGTGTTCATAAGATATTTGGGTTGGGTTTCCGTGAAATGTAAACACCAAAGAGGCGTGCCGGGTTTCTTTGATATTACACTGTTTTATTACTTTATTAGGTACTGTAACTGTAATAAAAAAATATACTATTTTTAATAGAAATGAAAAGAAATTGGCAGAACGATGAAACCAGAAAATGGATCTAATATTTCACTTTGTTAGTTTTAAATATGTGTTTGCTTTGCGTGGATGTACTCTTAAAAGTTTCGAAAGTAACGGGTATAACATACCAACTATTGATAGTTAAAGTACCGAGTAGTTACAGATTAAAAAGTAACGAAAATTTACATACAGTTTTTATATATATAATTTTATATATCGCCGAGTAATTTTAATTTTAAAAACCATCCGTATGGAGGTGCCCGGTGAAGAGAGGTGCCGTTAAGAGAGAGTTTAGTGTAGTGTATTTGTTTATTGCAGCCAAAAATGCCGAGACGTTTTTAAATATAGACAACTTTATATTTAACGTACTTTCTTATTTTAAAGTTCTGTGAATCTGATGGTTGATGATAGTTTTAGGAGGTTAGGAGAAAGTAAGTTTTTTTTTTGTTTTTTAATACTAATTGAATATTGGACTAAATAAATTATACTATTTAATCACAGTATCGTTACACTTCGTTTAAATCACTTATTTCAAACAGCAACTTGTTTACAATACTAAACTCAATGATAGTAATTATGTACTTCAAAATCTGAATTACAACTGTTCTATAACCTATCAACTCTATATTTATATCATGACTTCATATTTAATAAGATTTATATTTGTCATAACAGTATTTTGAAAATGGGGAGAATTTACTATTGTATAATTCAGTACATTGGACCATTTAAATCGGTACCTTAAACAAAATTTAAAACAGTCGTATATTCGTGGAATGGAGTATATATGTCTATGAGCAATAAATTTATAGATTCAGGGCATAGTGTTGTGTATCACATACCCCTGATTACGGCCCTGTGTTTTAGCGAATTCCACAAATCTCTGGTGCGATTGGTTATAATTGTTGTTCGTGAATTTGTGAGGCAAGAATATCAAAGTATTAAAACATGAACATTTGATCGACTTAAAGAAGGCATTTGACAGAGTAAAATATAAAAACAATTGAAAACGTTCATCAAAACAATAAGTAGGAAGTCAGAATAGATGGAAAACTTACGGAGCCTATAGATACAGGCATGGGGGATTCATTAAGCCCTATGCTATTCAATCTAATCATGGATGAATGGAAAACGATACAGAATGGGAAACAATACAATTAGAATTCTGTTACGCAGACGATGCAATATTGATAGCCAAAAATAAAGATATCCTTCTGAGACTAGTTCTTAGATTTAATACAAGAGCAAAAGAAGGAAGACATTGCCAATCGACTCATGTGGTATATTGAACATAAAAATAGATTAACATTAGATAACTTAATATCATTGGAATCAGAAATTCATGAAGCATTTTTTGCAATCAAGAATGTTTAGTCATATTCTTTGATGTAGAAAAGGCTTTTGATACAGTATGGTGATATCATATTTTAACTACAATCCAAAATTGAAAGATTCACGGTAACATGTTTGCTTTTATTTCAAACTTTCTACGGCAACGATATTTCCAAGTTCGAATCAATAACCATTTGTCTGAATATAAATTAGAGAAAAATGGAATTTACAGGGCTTGCATCTAAGCGTAGCGCTATTTTTAATTGCTATTAGAGATAGTGCAAACACTCTTGACCATGGCGCAGTAGACGAAATTTAGTCCCCACTCCCATGCGAAACGCTCTGTACTACGCACTGTATAATTCCACTTACAATAGAACCTTTCTGCCTTTACGTAAATTTTGACTCCGCCGTTGTTGTGTCGTACTGCAATGGCACAATTAAAAACTTTTTTGTACGCTGATGATCTGGTAATTCTAGCAAGAAATACAAACATATTATCTGCTCATAATCGTTTTGCTGCGCCTCTTCAGTCGATAGAATCGTGGTCTAACAATATTGGGCTCCAGTTTTCCACCACAAAAACAAAAGCTATACATTTTTCACGAAAATCAAATCCACAAAAGGTCTCAAATCTATTATTATACAATTCTCCTATAGAATAATCAAAAGAAATAAAATTCCTAGGGATACAACTGGACTTAAAATTAATCTGGACAAGTCATATACACTCGCTAAGACTATCGTGCCAAGCTGGACTAAACATGAAATCTGTATCACATAAAAATTGGGGAGCAGTTTTTCCAACTCTAATAACTTTATATAGAGCTTTAATTAGATCAAAACTGGACTACGGATGTGTTGTGTATAACTCCGCAAACCAAGCATTGCTCAAAACTTTGGTACTCTTCCACCATTCTTGTGGACAGTCTACTCTGTGAAGCTGGAGAGCCACCCTTAAACCTAAGAAGAAAATACTTAAGCTCTATCGTTCATATCGAATATAAAGTCTACCCAAAAAATCCAGCTCTTCATCATGCTGTTGCTAACAGGTTCCAGGAAGTCTATCAAAAAAGAAATAGGGGACCTCTATCTTTCTATGAACGAGCTAATAGATACTTATTAGATTTTAATATTGAACTACCTGTGAAATAAATTTATGTTTTCCTTGGGTTGTTTCCTTACCGCTTTGTAACCTTAAACTTACAGCATATAACAAAAATAACGTGATACCCAATTTTTTTAAATTTCCATCCAAAATTACCATCTTATATACACGGACGCATCTAAGACCATAAATGGAGTAGTAGCATGCTTTGTGATCTCAGATGAACATTTCATCTATAGATTGTCTCATGAGACAAGTATTTTTACAGAAGAACTATTTCCCATAATTAAGGCCCCAACCTTTATTTTAGAAAAAACTTTCCAAATCTCTTATAATATCTGATTAACTTAGTTGTCTGTCATCAATTTCTCAGATTTGTCCCTGTTTCCAACATTACAGCAGATTAAGTTAATTTTATACCGTATATACCAAAACAATTTGACAGTAAAGTTCCTCAGGATACCGTCACAAGTTGGAACAGATGGTAAAGAAAAGCCAGATAGTCTAGCTAGGTCCGCAGTAACCAGTACAGCCGCATGAGCCACGATGTTTGGTAAAACCAATGGAATGGAAGCACCACTAAATTGATAGAAATAAAATCTTATATCCTTCCATGGATCTTCTGGCCTTCAAAGCGACAACATTAAGTCCTAATAACACGTCTCAGATTAGGACACACTTCTACAATACGTGAATACTTGAAGAGAGAAGAGTAACCCGTGTGTTTTGTTTGTCAAATGTAAAGTGACAGTGAAGCACATTTTGATTGACTGTCCAATATACTCAGTTGAAAGACTATGTCACCACATTCCAAAAACATTAAAAGAACTTCTAAGAGAATTTAAATACGTAGCTGACTTGATAAAATTCTTAAAATCTATAAACCGTTTTATATACTTATTATGTAATTGATATATATGCCTATGCATGTCTTTATCACTTTTTGTATTTTCTTATGCTAAGAATTCTAAGTGGTTAAATCAAAACAAATAAATAAAAAAAGAAGTAAGATTTAAAAGTAATGGAAATAGAGTACCTAGGGATTACTCTGTGCAGCTATAGAGATGTTAAAAAAGAAGAGGTCAAGTACAAAGAGCAAATAGATTACCAGGATGCCTTCTCGTTATTGAATACATTAACTTTGTCTTAAAAAAATTGTATTGTATTATTCAAAAAATGTAGATTTACATATATTTAATTGATCTCAGATAATCGAGTGTTCATTTTTTTTGTCTAGCTATGTATAATCACTCACAGAAAATAAGTTTTTTTCGCGAGTTGATACACAAGTTTATCATTTGTATTGTGGGAAATAAGAAAATAATCTGAAAATTTTTTCGCGATTTGATACACATGTTTATAATGTTTTTTGTTTAAAAGTTAATGAATGCGATAAGAAAGTATATTAAAAAAACCATTGATAATATTTCATGGATTATAAATTCTTGACAGGTTCGTTTAATCTACGGGTCTAAGGGTTATCGTTCTTGATAAAAAGGGTGCTTGAATAGTGATCTCGTATTATATTTAAAATACTATTATTATATTATTAGAAATGTTGAGTAAAAGTTTTGTAATTTGTTATTCATCGACCCTGCACCTTATCTATGTACTATTCATGGTCAAAGACAAATATCATAAGACTGAGACATCACGTTTAAAATACTCTTAGGAGCAAAAAAAATGTTCGACTCTCTTTATGTTTAAACAATTTTTTGAAGAAAAAAAAAAGAAAGAGGTGTTCCAATTCTAAAAATAAAATATGTATATATGTATACTTAAAAATGGATAATTCCTAGTAGTGGCTGTATACCATATAGTTAAAAAACTATAACATTGAAGTAAATCACTTATGTTGTAATTGATATATTGAATTAAAATTAAATTTAAAAAATTCCAAAAGGATCAAGTTCAAAACGTATTCGGACTAATCAGTCCATCAATTGCAATGGCTTCGGACATCACCAGCGATTAAATCTAATGTACTATACTAGGGACGGCAGACTAAAGCACATAAATCAAAAAAATCGATTTTTCTTTTTGTACA